TTCGCTTCATCGTTTGGATCTACGTCCTCTGGGTCTTCGTCCACGGGTTCTTCAGAAGGGTTGGGCACAGGCTCGTAGCGCATTGACGGATGCTAGATGGAACAACCGGGAGGGCGAGCCAGCACCGCTGAAAGTAGACAAGGTTAAGTATGTAGTCAACGAGTTGAGTCGAGATCACACCGTAGGAACGCTATGTTGAGTAAGTATCGAGGCAGTACCCGCAGTGGCCGTATACAGTGTTGATATCTCGCCTTTGATCTTTACCACGTGGGCGGAGCCTAAAACCCTCGGTCTGCATACTAATTTACATACATCTATTACAAACTACGGTCTAACGAGAAGAAGGTATCAGACTGAGGGACCATGAATGACCTGGTATAGGTTGTAACTCAGGCTGTCCGAACAAACCATCAGTCTCGGATCAATGATGGTAGTGCTATTCTCACCAAAACACGAAGATGATGACGCCATATCCAACTAGCGCCAGAGCGCCCCATCTCAGCATTTTGCTTGTATGTGGATCGTCACGAAAGAGGCGCCAGAAGAACAGGCCCGCTGAGCGATAAACAATGAGGCAGGCACGGAACACGACGTGCGGATAGAACATACGAAGAATGAAGCTGATGGTTGTAGATCCCGTCGATCCAACGAAGGAGAGAACTAATATAATTGCAGATAGTGAGCATTCGTTGTGATATGAGTGCATGAAACTTACCAAGTTGTAGATCATCCACAAAATACGCAACCAAAAAACCACATGAGATGATAGAACTCGTCAATAGTGTATGTTTCAATGTCGTCATCTCACTCTTCCCGTGCTCGTCCTCGGCATCATCCACAAAACCTTGATCATTCCCACCCTGCTGGCCTTCTGTCTGCGTCGCTACAGCGGGCTTATGTGCCGTTGTCGGGTGAGCTCTGAACACCTTGTCCAAACAGTTTCGACATGGGTGCACCTGCAGGGGATAGCCTAGCAGCACGGTCACTACGATGGCAAGCTGGCCCACAGCAATAAACAAGGAGGTCGAGGGGTACATGGCCACAATATTGGGTCCAACATTAGTGCCAAATGTAAGGTAGCCAAATACGGCAATGACTTCGTATGCTAGCGTAGCAGATCCAATGGACGTCCCAATTACCGAGTTCATGCGTTTCTGCGTGTTACTGACGAGCTCGTTATAGATTGGGAAGATCTGGATGGAATTAGTGAGGGATGGTGAGATAATTGCGTAAGGGAGACGCACGTTCTGCGCGCAGGTGTATGCAAAAACTTGCACAGGGAAAGTAGAGACAAAGTTTGGGGTGAAATGGATGAGATAGATAGGTCCAGCAGGAGTTGTCCCCTCGATTGGATAGAAATAGCACACAATGACAATAAGCACCAGGTAGACTAGGGTATGGGTCAGAATAGATGGGATAAATACACGTGGAGCCGGAGGCCTCACCGACAGCAAAGACGGCGGTATAGGATGCATACCGCAAGCTATCCAATCGGCGTAGAAAGCATAATGGAATGAGCACAGCCATAAGGAGTGTAATCCAGAGCCGTCCAGAAATCGACCACTCAGGCGGGTCACCAGGTAAAAGGTCGTGATAAAGAGAGGCAACGACATTGGGCATGAGGCCTTTGATGATAATCAAGTAACTAAAGGAAAAATTCTAGCTCCTAAGCGAGGGATCGTAATAAACCACCTGCCTGATCGAGACACCAAAGCATTTGATGGCAATGGCGGCATCAAAGAAGATGGCAGCCTTAGGAAAGGTGAGCTGGGAAATAGCAAAGAAGGAAGCGCGTCGACGGGGCGCACGCGTCGCGGTAAGGGATAGGAGATATAAACCGAAGGCACCGACGCCTCCGGAGAACAAACACGTTAATACGCCGGGAATTATACCCGACGAGGCCACAGACTGAGGAAAGCTGAACTCAGTCCAGACCAAAGATCAGGATGCGAAGTGGAACATACCAGGGGGAAGGTGAGCATCCCTGTGTTATGTGAGACAACATGTACCGTGGATGACAATTGTATTCGCACCTGTGCCTATACAAAGTTAGATTACGAGACGGCGAGAAATAGCTGGTGGTTCACCCATGATTGTGTTGCACAAATTCCCCACACAGCTTGCAATACTAGCATGGCCACCATCATACCCGGTTTTTCCATGAGCGGCGCCACCGAGCAATGGCGACGCATCTGTTGCATTCTGCCCCTCTAACGCTTCTGTCGCGTTGTCGCGATTCGCAGCGACGCCATAAGATCGAACCATATCAAGCCAGTATCTCAAGAGGTGGAAAACCGGCAGTTCTTACATAATTTGCTTCCGAGGTGCTGATGGAGACTGGTTCGTCGCTCAACGAGCCGGGATATCGCATGACCACGATTACAGCACAAGTCCTAAGCGCACAAGGATTGTTGCAACTGAGACACACGCCGAATAAGCTCGCTCTCCCAGTCAATTGGACTACCAGAAAGTGTTTGTGCTAAGCTTCATGATCAGCGACCACCGAGGGAAGTGGCAACACTGATATTGATTATGTTTGTAGCTATATTGTCTGTCCCTCGAGTTTAGCAGTTGAGGCAAACTCTCATTTCTTTTTATTTGCCGTGATGCTGCAATACGAAATGGAATCTACGCTAATATTATCATCACGAATTCGAATTAAGTATCTATATATATGAACTGTCTCCAAGCATCTTATTCTCTCAGGCAGACGTAGATGGCGGCTTAGGGCGATTCTGTCTCTTAAAGTGACTCATCATGTCGCCCATCCTCGTAATTGGGTAAAAATATTCCACGATAGCTGCAGGACTCCAGCGGTACAGTGAGCATGGGCACCTGCACGCGTATTCATGTCTATATGCTGTCATATATCAGCAGTGTAGTGCCCATAGCCGCATTCATTTCTCTGTAAGGCTGACTCTCCCTTTTTTTCTCTTGTCTGCATTATATGCCACCATGTGCCACTGGCAAGCACATCCTCCTTTTGTCTTACGGGTCACCCACCGTTGGTCGGTATATGGTCATAATTCTTCTGAAGGGTAAACATGGGTGAGGCGTGAAAGTTGCATTTCAAAATACTTACTGTCAGACTGTTCGGCCTCATTCAATTTCCCTGCTCTCCATGCACCATGTGCCGGTGCGCAGTCTGCGAACGCTATACTGTCCCACTGTATAACTTCAATGCCGTCGTGGGACAGCTAATGACACGGAGATTAATATTGGACAGAAATTCTAGACGTCATTTTATTGTAGAGACAGACAGCCGTCGAAGTCAATCATTGGTGTTTACTTCAGTATGCCTATTTGTTACTGATTCTTTCTACTTGAATACTGGTTCACGTTGGTCTGTGCATGTGAGTGGGCAAGCATACTAAGTGTTTTCACTACAAACATACTTCTATACAGCATTGCCTCAACTGAATTGAAAACATAGGGACAGTCGAGCTAATATATATTGGTAGCAAAAACACTATTAAATAGTATTCTTCCCACCTATCTCTGATGCAAGCTTCTCTCCAGTCATATTTGAATGATCCTTGCGGGAGCATAACGCGCTAAAACGGCAACACCTTCCACAGGTACTTTTGTGGCGAATTCCTCACGCGGGAGGAAAGGCTTAGAGCAGAAAAATAAAGGGACGCCGGCGCCAAGCGAGGCAGCCACAACCGAGGACTTCATTTTTCGAGGCCGTAAGAGTGTATGAAGGTGACCGCAAGATGAGGCAAGACCGAGGAAACAAGTGACGTCAGGAGGGGGCGTTGAAGGCGGAACGGCCGTGGATAAGGGCTTGTAAGACTACTGGATGCTTGCGGATGTATACTTTGAATGCCTCCGAAGACCAGCGTCCGGCCCCTTGAATAGCGTTGTCAGGGACGCCTGCAAGCGCAAGAGCGGTGGCGCCGCCGGAGCGCAGGGAGTGGCCACCGACGTCGCCGAATGTGGCACGGAGGCGGGAGACAAACCAAGGCGGAGGTTGGGGCCGAGCCAGAGGAGGTCAGCCAGAGCTCAGGGTGAAAGTGGAAGAGGGAGTCCCGGGAGGAGGTGTAACGACGCATGATGAGAACGGGGTCAACGGGAGAGCCCCCATTGCTAAGGACAACCACCTTGCTTCCTTGAACGAAACGATCGGCCTTGTGGAAAGGAAGGTGAAAAGAGAACTGGTCGGGGCGGAAATGGAGCGTATGGTGCAAAACAATTTTCTTGGAGGAACGTTTGGAGGGGGAGTCGGATAAGGTCATCTCCCCGAGGCGAAGCAGGGCTGAGAAACCGGTGAGCAGCATAGCGAGAAAGAGAAGGTTGTCGTGAGAGGGAGAGTTGTAACCGGCGAGTAATGAGGTCATCAGCAGTAAGGGCATACTTTTGGCGGGGGGTGGAAGCACCACGCAATTTGCGCATGCCTGCGAAAGAACGGGTAACGACAGGAGAGGCGCAAGCGGCACAGATGTTTGGGAATTGGGGTTCGAGACAGTTGCAGAGGACAAATAAGCTGCAACAGAAGTTAGTTGTATGTGGTGGGACATGAAGACGACGAAGAAGCTAAGCGTGTCAGGACTTGGGTCGACAGGAAAACTGTGGAGTTTGCAGAAGGTAAGTTAAGATTGGAGATGAGAATTGTAAGTGCTTTCCACCCTGCACACATCTCCAATCTTAACTCACCTTCTGAAAACTTCACAAATTTCCGGTCGACCCAATAGAACGCGCGAAGTTAGCAGGCGCGGTGCAAGCGAGCCAAAACAGCTAAAAAATACTTGTGCGAAGGTAGAAGAGCGCCGCAAGTGAGCGAGGAGAGGAACAAAGCAACCCTTAGACCACTGTACAATGGATGACGTAATCCTGACGCGTTGCAACCCACGCCTGGGCGGGTGTACTCAGCGTAACACCTGTTAATAAAAACGACGCGAGTAGCGCGTACCCTGGCAAGACGTTCGAGATGGCATGAGACCTCCGGGGACAAGGCACGTACACAAGGTGACGTAGTACTACTTAAACTCGGAATAAAAGGGCCTAACCGGGAATCGAACCCGGGACCTCACCCATAAGTTTGCATACGCAAAGCCCTAAGGGTGAATCATACCTCTAGACCATCAGGCCGGTAATGGCGGCTTTCTTGTAATCCATTATAATAACAAAATGACAAATGCTCCGCGCCACATGTAAGCAGCCCTTGGAACCCATTTGATAATTACTGACAACCCATCAGACACTAAATGTTTATTCACGAACATTCCCCAGACTCCAAGGTATGGAGCACTGACAAACATATTACGCCCGGCGTCGTTTGCATGATCATAACCTACACATAAGTATCATGCAAATGACGGTAATACAGCCCCGGCAACTTTCACAGGTGATGTAGTATATAGTCACAGTCTGTTCCGTTGACAGGGAACGCACGCAAACATCTGGCAGGTAGTACAACACTGTATACAGAATTAGTCGAACTCCTCACATTAATCACTGCACCTACCAAAATGTAATGGGGCATATAGTTGCGGCAGTTCTCGCACTGCGCGCCGCCCTTGCGTAAGTTCCAGCTGGGGTGCGCACACTCATGGTCGTTGCGAAGTACTTCTGCGGCACGTAACACAAGCTCTTCCCGGTCACGCCTGAAACGTGGTTCGTGGGCAATGCGATTCTCGACCTGGTGTTCGGCAGCCACCATCAGCCTCTCCTCGTTCCACTGAGCACAAGGGCAATTTTTCCAAAGCTCTCTGCACAGGTAGCAGAACTGTGTTCGACAAAGGCATGTCATGTGATAACACCCATGCGCTAGCTCCACCATGTGACTACATCCTGGGCAGCGCTGCCAACCCTCGGATTTCGCCAGATCAAGAACCTGTTGAGAGTCCGTGTCCAAGCTGCAAGGCACATCGCCCGGATGAGCAAATGATTTGCAAACGGCACACACAAGTCTAGAACACTTGCAACGCACGTTGACCCGCTCCTTTCGAGCGGCGCCAAGGAATTGTGAACAGGAGGGTTCAGGGCAATAGAGACGATTTGAAGTCCTGTGTTCTTGAGACTTCTCTAAAAAAAGAGCGGCAGATTTGGTCGAAAGATGCGGAATGACCAGTGTGTCGGGAATTGGAATACGGCAGCAGCGAGGAGGCATCAAGCTTTCGTCCTTAATCGCAGCCTCGAAAAGCCCAACCGCACAGGCCACATGGTAAGTATGTTGGCATGGGAATACGATGTCTGATATTTCAGTCGCGTCCATACAAAAGGCGCACTCTGCATTCCTGCATGTAGGTTATTCAAGGATGGCAATTAAGTTGCAAAGAATCTTACTGCTCAGTGGGCATAACCCTTTCGAGCGACAGGCTACGGAAGGGGCGCATCGCTATATCAGCGACAGTTAGCATTAGTATCACAGGGACGTACCCCCTCCTGGGTGGGGAGGCTGGACTTGGGACACTGGGGGAGTGGTCGGCATCGCCGGTAACGTCACTGGGCGACTCGATGTCGGACGCTGATAAGCGATCAGCATCTTCAGCAAATTCATGGGGGGACTCGACGCCCGTGCTGGACTCCGATGGCACTCGACTGATCTGCACTCTATCCCGGATCCCCTCGACAGAAATCCTCCGAGGTGGGACTGAAGGAGGCCGAGACACCTCTTCCCCTCGTTGCAACCTGACAGCAGTTGAACTATCTTCAAGGGCGCGAGGGTTACTTTGTTCCAATTCCCAGGGCACTCGACTGATCTGCACTCTATTCCGGATCCCCTCGACAGAAATCCTCCTAGGTGGGACTGAAGGAGGCCGAGACACCTCTTCCCCTCGTTGCAACCTGACAGCAGTTGAACTATCTTCAAGGGCGCGAGGGTTACTTTGTTCCAATTCCCAGGGCACTCGACTGATCTGCACTCTATTCCGGATCCCCTCGACAGAAATCCTCCTAGGTGGGACTGAAGGAGGCCGAAACACCTCTTCCCCTCGTTGCATCCTGACAGCAATTGATCTATCCTCAAGGGTACGAGTGTTACTTTGTTCCAATTCCCCAATAAGAGCAGAATCAGTGTTCACAGCTGCTTCCATACTTCGAGCCATCCGCTGATCCTGGATCACCGAGAGCAAAGACGTGAGCTCATTCGCAAACAAATCAAATGCGACTTCATCATCTGTCGGAGGCGCATCTTGCCTTCTTTTATCTTTGCGGCCCGCATTAACCTCTCCAACTTCCTCCAGAAGCAATGACGCAATGGCATCCAAGTCAGTGCTATCGTTTGTTGTATCCTCAGGCGTATGGATTATCGACATGGTAGCACTCACGGAAAACAAGTCTCTCTTTGAATATAAACGGGATGCCAAGGGGAAAGGGCGAGGGGCGAGGGGCAAAGGGCAAAGGGGAAAAGAGTCAGGGGTCAACGCCAAAGAATCACAATGCGTTCCGTTACAGTCAACACGGCATTGAGGCCAAGAATGGTGGGAGAACTGAGGGATAACTAATAAACCATCGACCGGTTGGCGCTTTGGCCACGAACCAAGAGAGCAATCGAGGGAGTCCACGTAAAATGTGCATTGGCAGACATCTTCAGACATGCGACAAGCCCAGATCTTTGAAATAAGCGAAATGAGGAGTGGTCACAACTTGGGCGCCCTCGCGATGGACACAACTCATGAGACTTAAGGGAAAGTCGCTGGGAAATCAGACAATGTGCTTCACACTTATAGTACACGCCGCTTACTGGAGAGGATGTCCGGAACGTCTTGGACCAAGTGATGTATATACCTCACCTAGCGAGTAAGGTACGTCGTCAGTATCGTCGACTTTGAAAGATTGTGTAGATCGTTCAGAATTCGCATCCGGCGGGCTGCCTCGCCATCCTGCCACTGCGCCGGACACTACGAGCGACTGACCCCTATCCCTCCATGTCCTTAAGTTTTGACCTATCTAGATCTTCCTCCTCCTCTTCCTCGACTTGAACAATGGGACCACTGGTGTCGAAACGCTTTTTCTCCCGGAATGCATGAAGCCGTGGCTGTCCCTTCTCGAGTACAGCAACAGCGGGAATAACGCCTTTGGGGTTCAAATATAGCAAGTCGTTACCGGCATACGAATCAATGGACTGTATCCAGCCATCGAACCTGGGACATAATGTCAACTCAGCGTCGTCTACTGACCGTGACAAAATCGACTTGCGTAGCATCCTTCTGCTCTTGTGCCCTCATGCGACTGTAGATATGCTCCCGCTTGAACTGATCGATAACTTCCCGGTGTTGCTCAAAATCAATAATGGATCGATAGTTAGGATCTGCATCATTCTCCAGCTTGGCATTGGCCTCCATGACTTTGCGGTTGTACGACTCGAAGAGTGGCTGTTCCAGTAGCAGTCCAAGCGCGGGAGCTTTGGGTACTACAACCTTCCGGGGGCCAAACATTTCCTCCAGAACGCTAGCTGGTGTGCCTGTTCGGCAAGTCAATACAAGCGCGCAAACCATTTTCCGCTGTGAAATACTGTCAGAGCTGTACCGGTCCGTAAAATGCAACGCACTATCTGTGGCGCATAGTTCAGATCTCACATACTGTGACTTATGACAGATAAATACTTGCCTGATGCAGCATGAAGCTCTGCCCATGGAACAATATGGAGAGCCACTCGGTGCCATCGTAAACAACAGGATCTTGCACCTCCATGGCTATTAGTACAAATTTGAGAGTCGCGCAATAGGAAAATCTTTTCACCTCAATCTTCTTCATATGGCGCTGATTACTTCGATCCCTAAATTCCCTGCCTACGGTAAAATTATGGAAGTTATGAGTTCCGAGGTATCTGGTGGAAGCAAATCGAAAATTCGCCAGAGTGTCTGAATCGATTCGCCATTGCTTCTTCCGTTGGTGATCATCGTATGTGCATGTCAAATCAACTCCATTCCAGAATGGGTAGACCCCCTGCTCGCTAGCCGTGCCAAGTTCCTCGCTGTTCGCTTTTAGAGCCCTGGCAAGGCCGCTGTCAGGCTTTGGAGGTAGAAGTAAGTATGACGGTAGGAAGTATGTATACATCCTACTGTCGCAGGATCTTTGACGGTGTCTCAGTCGTTAACTGTGAAAGGGAAGAGATGGAAACGGACAAATGGGCGTTAAATGAGTTCTGCGTTCGAACAAATGACCATAGCCTAATCTCAGGCGGTAATTCTTGGTTGATTCGAGCCACGATATCGGAAATCCCTGGCACAGATGTGATCATTTTAATGGAAATAAGATTTCCGGCGGCATGGACTCCAGCGTCAGTGCGAGCAGCACGTGCAAGACCAACCTGCAACAAAGAATGGTGATTTACGTTCTTCAATCACGTCGAGGTGACTGGGAAGGCTCACCTTAACAGGATCATCTGCATTGTCCTGAGATACTGCGCCGGCCTTGACCATGGCACTGAACAGAACGCCCTCTATCGTGCGGACATTTGGCTGTCTGAAGCCAAGAAAAAGAGTGAGAGATCGCTTGCCCGGGGTTTGCCGCCTCACATTTGCATGCCATTACACCCCGTGCCACAAAACCCGATCAGCAGCGCACACGACCTCTTTGGGAGACGAGGTTTCTTCTCTCCATCGCCATCTTCTTTATTTTGGCCAGCAGTGCGTTCGTTTCCCAAGTTGCGCGTGCCCCTCGAGCCTCTTCGGTCAGGTCGACCCTCGCTAGGACCGACGTCAGCACGTCTGTTTTCCCCTTTCCGCCAGTCCCCTTCTTGGCCTTGCTAACGCGTGAGCCGGCTTCTGGCTCCTCACTAGTCTTATGGCGTTTGGCTTCCGCTGTATTCACGGAGTCACCTTCTAGAGATCTTTTTGACGATAGGGCAGTATCAGAAATGCTTGGATCCATAGGGATTGTTGGACGCAGATGAGCAAATCTACCCCAAAGCCAGGGCCCGAGATTTAGGCCCAAACGGGGTCGGTATAAAGGCAGCCTGAACCACACCTACAGTTTAGGAATATTGTCGTGGGCACGCGCCATTTTCGAGCTCCGAAATTTTTATTCCCCTGCATCAAAAAATATTTCACTGTGCACTAGCTACTAGTTAGTATCAATGTTACTTTTTTCACCGCAAGTTCTCATATAGTCGCATTCACCAGTACCCGATCCCGTTGACATTA